ATCCGACGTTCGACGCGGGGAGGGACGCGGAAGGAGGAGGAGGCAGGGGGAGAAGTGAAAGAAAAGCGAGTCCACAGGAGGGTGGAAAAATACATCAACTTCAATTCCCGCGAATAAATCGGTGCGTTATCCAGCGGGTTTGGCGACCGCGCTATGTTTAATCGTAGCCATTATAACTCGAGCAAGTTATTACAAGTCTTGCCATTAAGAACTTTCGTTGATTCGTAAAAAGTGTCGTGCGGCGGCGAGCCGTTCTCTTTCGCGAAATTCCAGGACAACAAAGCGCAGGCTATTTGAGATTGCTCGCCCGTAATTATGAAGATACCAATCTCGGTACGTACTTCGTCGTAGCGGAAAATCGCGAGGGGCGAGCTCGCGCTAAAACGGCGAAACGTCGTGCTCGGCGAGTTGTAAAAACGGAGGAACGCTTTTAAATAACGAGAGGAATAACGTCAAGTGAAAAGAGAGAAAAAGAGAGAGAAGGGAAAAAGCGATCGGCGCCTCTGCGTGGAATTTCCGTCTTCCGCTAGGAAAATAGTCATGGACGGCCACCGTCGTCGTCCGACCGATACGTATAAAGTTCGAATCGTCCCACTTTCAACGGAAATCGTAATTTCGTGCCGGTAACGTTATTCGCGAAGAAGCAAGTCCATAAGGAAGTGTACCTACGGCAGATGCGCGGGGTGGAATTCATTACGCGAGACCAGCCGTATAGCTTATAACCGTAACTGGAGATTCTCACGTGCTGCGTTTATCGATCCGCGCCGTTTTACAGACGTGCATCGGTCAAGACGGCTGCCTCCTTCTGGAAAGTAATTCCGCGAGCAGAAGAGCTCGCTCGCATTTAATTACACGCCCGGTGCCTCCGTTAAGACGAAGACGATCGTTTATTACAACGCTACAAATTGGCCATGTGTGTACCACTGGTGTAGCAGCAACAGCAGCTGCTCGACTCTCCTATAAAAATTTCAAGCGCTCGTCATTCCCGTAATCCCGGTATTTAACGACAGACAGGTATCGTCTGGCTAGATGTATCCGTACAAATGCTGCTTCACAGTCGATACACAAATGCGCCCGAATTCTTCAAGTTTATCCAACCAACTTATTCACGCTCTAAGAAAGAAATGCTTGATATCTATAACTGTGATCGTACAATGAAATTGGCCGTAGTTGTGCAAAAATGATTCAATCTGTATAAAGTACATCCCGAGAAAAATGAAGATGAAAATTTGATACATGATTTAAAAAGTGTGGACTGAATTCTTCGCAATTGTTCCGGAAGTCAAACATAGTCAATTCTTTTCTCTTTAAGAGAATGCGTACTTCTCGATTCGTTATCGCGACGGTTCGGCGTCGTTGTTCCGTAAATACGGAAAAATAACAGAACACTCTAAGAGAACCCGAAAGATCGCTTATCGAGCCCCGAGCTACGCTCATTAGGATTAAGCTCGAGCACACACCGATGTTGTAACTCCACGAAGGAGAATATTCGATCACCAGAGCGGGGAACAGTGCGGGACGCGAATGAGCTCTAAAACAAGGCGGTGATTCGTCATGTCGGGGTTGTCGGCCGGATTCAGACCGGCATCAATTATTCGGAATACCAAGCCGATTTTCAATGGAGCGTGATATCGACCCGGTGCCGTCGAGCCGCGCGGATAGATACGTAGTACGTCGCGTCGGCCAGTACTGTCGCCTAACGAAGAAACAATGGATATTTTGGCGTTAACCCGCAAAACCGCAGTGATCCCTCTCTTTCGCCTCCTCCTCCGCCGCCGCCATCGTTGCAGTTATCGACGACGCGTTCGGTAGCTTCGGTGTCACTTTTTTCACTGGCTACGCGCGCCGACTGCTGCCGCACGGCGCGGTATTTCGTTAAACAAAAAAAAAAAAAAGAGAGAGAGAAACAAATGGAATGCGGCGAGTATCGCGGAATTCGTGCAGGCTGCCGCGGATGTTTATCAATTTTTGCGGGAGTCGCCTAGCGTGTTGTTTCGACGTTTCCTTGATTCCGTTCTGGTATTTCCATTCGCGCGTTACCTCGTAACGCAGCGGGTGCTCCGAGAAGGAAAGAGAAGATATGCGTTTACGTCGCATCGATATGCCAGACGATACTACATCATCCTCTCTCTCTCTCTCTTTCTCTCTCTCTCTTTACTCGTGCGATTCAGCTTGTGTATCACGATCGCGTACATATGTGTGTATCCCCAAACAGTCAAAATCCCATCACGTCTGCCAGTCGCCGCGAGTTTGATGAAAATGCGGTTGAAGAATAATTGACAAGGCTTGAAACATCGTTTGGATCGTAATATGTCAGCTGCAACGTACGCTTTACGATACGTCTTCTCTTGGATTAATGTGTTAGCCGAAAGTGATTCGAAATTGAGATAAATAGATCATTGATCGATTGATACGACGGTGTAACAATGAAAAGTCTTGATAATTAGAATTAATGGCGAAATAAACGTGCACTGCTGCGCGTTCGTTTCTGAGAAAAAGATAATTCATCGCTCTTAATTTTTTTTTCTTTTTCATTCTGGCATGAAAGCGATGATAGTTTCGCGGATTTGTTTGTCGCATTCGTTCAAAGTTGCGCGTGTACTCGCAATACGACAATTAGCGCCCCCTAATGGCGCAACGTAATTTCAGGCGCGTACGTTTGAGTAGCACTTTCGTTATAGTTGCGTAGCACCTTCGTGTAACTCGGTCGTTAATTTGCGAGTAATGTTATGTTTCGCAGGCGTTAAACGTCGCGCAGAGTCCTGTTTGTCGCGTTATTTAATTAAATTTTCTATTCAAACTCGCTCCCGTCGCGGGCACAACCCCGTTTCCCCGGTTCAACTTTAATTCGCTTCCTCTGCTCGATACAAAACACAATTTGGCGGCAAATTATTAGCGCGAGAAATCCAGACAGCGCGCAAAGGGACGAAACATTTCAACGGATTGTTGCACTGAACAGAAACTGGTTGAGTTAATGAGATTTTGCTTGAATGAGCAAAATTTATTCAAGCAAACATTAGTCGATTGAACGAATTATGTAGCTACTGAGTGATGAGTTATTCAAAGATTGCGACTTAGCCAGTAACTAGAAGAGAGACCGGAGCTAGATGTCTCACATTTCAAAATTTCAAAGTTATAATTTCTTAGACAACTAATTGTTGCGACTGACTGACACATCGCTTAATTTTATTCACTCATGATGGAGAATATTATTGAAAAATTTTCAAAAATCTCGTAAATTCACTCTGCCGCTACTAAATCAGTTTTTTCTATTTTGTAACTGTAATATTATTCCGATTTTAATGGAACTCAGGGAAAAAGTATCTACGTTCTAAAAAGATTATTTCGCAATTTTATATTCACTGTTCCTCTCAGGATGAATACTAAAAAAAGCACACGAGCGACATAATCCCTGAGGCCATCTGACCTCTCCTACATCAGTGCAACTTATTGTTGCACGCACACGTAATTCGTTCAATAAATATTTCTTTGTGGAGACGGGTGATGACTGCCGATTTTTCGATTCAACTGTTTTTTTTATCGAAGAGAAAGCGAAGAGAAGAGTCTTCACTTTCCGCTCGCGAGCTTAAAATACACCCACTCACGCGAATTCCATCCGATGAAAGGAAAAAATTACCCATTAACGAGACGTAGATAGAAAGGGAAAAAGAGAGTAGAAGACAATTAGATGGAAGAGCCGCGTTAACGAGACGCGAGACTTGTAGCCGACGCTGTTGTTATCTCGCGCGAACTGACGGATGCGACTGCGTTTTCTGGCGCGAGTGAAGAGAATACGAAGACAGAAGTACCGGGATTGAAGCGGTTGGCGGTTGGGAATTCCGTTCGGAATGCGCAAAGAAATTCGCCCGAGCTCGCTCGTTTGTCCCCACGAGAGTCTGCCATAAGGAGAGATCGTAATTCAAACGACATTCCGCGTTAAGGGTGTTTCGCGGCATGGCAGTGCCGCCCTCGAAAGAAACACTTTATGGCAAGTTCTGTGCTATCTTTCAGCGGCCGCGCCTCGCAGTCGCTCGCGGAGATGCTCCCGCGCGGCTTCTCCCAATTATCGGCGCCTGCCCTCCCCGGTCGCAAATTAACGACGAGTTGGCAGCGGCTACGACGAGTTTGACCGCGTGCGCGGGCGTCGAACGCGACAGTTACCCGACTAACTTCGGGGAATGACTTTGATAACTGCCGTCATTAAGGCGAGTGTCTTCTTATTGGCCGTGTCCTACGGCGGTCGCCGTGACGGCACATGCCAGATATTAGTGTAATTGGTATCCCGGAACAATGACAATTAATTATTGGTCTACAGCGGGACATACGTATCGAACACGTGCGCGTCGCGCCGTGTCCCGATATGGAATCGATAAATAGTATTCAGAGCGTATTTGCAATTTCATCTTTGTAATTTGATCGAAGCGAACGAGCTACAATAGGGCAATATTAGTTGCGCAATGCGAGCGGAATCGTTAGAGATTACGCGACGAGAGATTAACGTTTTATTATATATCGATGAAAAACCATTTGGCGATATATCGGGACGAGCACGATTGTGCGGCGTAAACGCGTTTTATGCACGCCTATGAAAAGTCCTCGGCAAAATTCGCGATTATCAGCATAACACGTACATTCGAATACATCTTTTAACACACATCGACGACACATTGTCATATTAAATTCCCCTCCCACTGATATTAAAATTGTACAATTGTGCGCGCGCGGAAACAAACTCGCAACGTTCTCGAGATCGATATCGGGGCGTACCTCTGAGAGCGATGGCTCGATTAATCCCCCTCGATGCCATTCTTCAGAGAGTCGTGTCCGGTAATCGTATTTGCAGGCGATTAAAGGGATCATGCAAATTATGCAACATCTCGCGAGGCCGAATTCTTTTCAGCGCGCCTTACTCGCGAATCTTTATTGCGCCGCACAAAATGTGATACGTCTCATCGCCCCGTAGCCAGAGGGAATTCCATTACACGCTGAAAATGTTCTAGGTCTCGTTCTAAACCCGGAGGAAGGAGCAGGAAGGTTCCGACCAGAGAGAGGGAATAGCGACGGGGAGGAAAAGGGGCGCAGCTTTCTCAGCAGCGGCAACGGCAGCAGGTACATAACGTAAAAATTTAAGACTATTAGGCCGGTCGGAGCTGTTTCCCTAACAATGCCGACATCGGTATTTAGCCTGGGGACACGATGTATACTTCTCCTTCACGAGCGAAATCTTTCGAGAAACGACAGTGGCGTTGGTTTATCGGGTATGAGACGGAGAATAAAAAGGAAGTAAGTGTGGGAGTCAGCAGGGTATAGAGACGGGGAGAGAAAGAGAGAGTTAGAGAAAGGGAAGGAGGGAGGGGAGGGTCGGAGGAGACGGGGTGGAAACGCGCCGTGGAAAAATAAGAATTTCAAATCCAATTTTCCGAGGCATATTTAATAGGCATCCCTCCGCCGCCATCGCGGACGCCATCGCCGTCGACCCGACTCGCGAGCGCTCCTTCCCACCGCTTCGTTCATCGTCTACCCGTGGAGAGAGTTTGCCACCTCTGGAGTCCCTCTCCCCGCCGCCGAGGAAATGAATAATTGAAGAATACATTAAATTAGGTCGAGGGGCAACGCGGAGGGGTGTGAAGGGAAAGGTAGGGGGGAAGGGTAGGGTAGGGTAGGAAAGGCTGGTAGCCTTTCGGTAGCGACTTCTCTATTGCTCCGCATTAGGTGCGAATCGCCAATTGTGAATAGGGACGAACGCGCTTCGCGGATTACGAAAATCTCACCGAGTTTCGCTTTCAGATATATCCCGGCCGGGGAGATCTCGATGTTCATAATAGACGCCAACTATTTCCTAATCGTCTCGCTATTATGCGCTTTGGAGCCGGGCTTAATCGCGCGCGCGAGTGTAAACGCGCGGAATCGACCGATAAGCTAAGAGGTCGTTGCACGACCAACTAAAGTTCCCAGAGTTAACTCGACTCCCCCGCTGAATAGCGGTGACTTATAATTGCGCTGTATCTCAATGCTCTCGCATTACGGTAACGTGTGGTATACACCTCGGCTCGGACGACGATGCAGCGTATCGCGCGTTATCACGATGTCCACCTGGTCGCGCACGAAGATACCGTCCCGCCAGGTGGATTTCCATTGCGCCAACGGCGCGAGAGGAAACGATGCCTCGGGCTTGACCGAGCGGCTTCCGCCGCGAGGGCTCAATGCTGACGTTAATCGGCTTTTCTAGTAAGTGGCGTATCACTCGAAAGAGATAAATCGAGCTGGCGAACGAGACTATTCGTTCCGACCTGCAGGTTTGTTGCTCGTCCCAATTAGCCGCGATTCTCCGACTGAAGACTTCAATCAATTTCGCGGAACACTAGGTCACAGATGCTACCAATTACGCCCCGCCGACGTTACCGCCATCTTTCTCCATCGTACGTCCGTCGTGTCCAGGAAGAAGTAGGGTAAATGATTTTTCTCTCCTTCGGGACCAATGGCGAAGACCAACCGACCGACCGACCGACCGACCGACCGATCGAACGAACCAACGAAAGCCATTTGACGACTTTACTCCAATAATTGTCGTGAGAGAGAGAGAACCCGCGAACGTTACTACCTGCTAGTCAAGCGTCTGACCCCTTTCTCCCTTCCCTTTTTTGCAACAAGCGCGCGCGGCAATAATTTTCTCGACCCGATAAATCCGATACGTTGGAGCGACGAGAATTATAGCGGAGGTGGTTTTCCGGGGACATTTAACGCCACTTTTGCGAGCCGATGAACCGTATCTCCCGCGCCTCCACGGCGACGGGAAATGCATTACTTAGCCAATCATACGTGAGCTCAATTGGCCATGATGCGCGTGTAATTAATCCCGCGAGGAAATGACGTCGATACTTCTCGCCGCCTTTCGACCGCGCGCGCCTAACCTCGCGTGTAAGGTATTAAGCGTCGGACGTAACTACCAGGTGGTTTTCGTTATAATTAATTATACAATGTGAAGCGAGTTACTCCACCGCGACCCGCGGGGCTTCGTCCTGTCTTAAGTAATGAATGGTAGACGGACTTAATCTCCTTTCGGAGCCGCAATTTTTCTAAGGATTCTTTCGCTTCTTCTCTTCCCACCATCAGCGGCGGCAAATTTTTTAGACCTCGTATATCAGAGATGGCCGGCAGATCATGCCCCGCTATAAATTCCGAATCGACGTCTATGGATTCGGAGCGTACGTACTTGGGCGCGCGTGAATTAGTTTCAAGAACCTTCATCTGCGATCGAGACGCTTCTCTCTCCCTCATAAAAACGACCGCGGACTCGTCGCTTCCTCCAGGAGAACGTTTCCGGCAACCGTGAGTTGCAAATTTACGGATAACGTAAGATCGAACGAAACGTCTGCGTTTACGTCACGAGTATTCCGTCGAGAGCTTAACTCTCTACTGCAGAAATTAATTTCTCATATTTAACAAATTATATAGGACTTTTAAAGCTAAAGTATACATATAACACATATAAGGTGAAATTTTATTTCAGATTAAAATTAAGAAACTTCTGGCGACAGTTTTTCTCAAAAATATTTAATTAATTATAATTATTGCCCTGTATTTACGAGCAATATACTGAAGAAGATTCAAAGCGTGAACCGAAACGTTTATACTATTTATATTTTTAGTTAAAATCTACCATCTACGTAGTGATTACTCATATTAAAGTGTTTTGCACGTCACTTAACTTGTGTTTGACTCTTGTTGGCCTTAATTTTAATTTGATTGTTAATAGAAGAATCTTATTTTTAATTTAGAAATTTTACTTTTCTAATTTTTTCTCAAAATAAAAGTTTGTGATTTTCATGTGACATTGGTCGAAACAACATTCATTACAGATAAATAATGATGAAACTAAATTGTAACTTCAGAGCCATAGTGGGCAATAAAGAGTTAAGGGATTGCTGAAGTCGATGACGAACTCGAAAAATGTCGATAATACAAATAATTAGTGACGATTGTCACTAATATAATCACGCTATCTTTTTCGTATTTCTTGTATATATAGAACTTACATAAATGTATGTTGCTTTGTTTTACCATATTCAACGGAAAATCTAACCATATATGTATAGAAATCTTTCTGCAAGCTTTTTCGATATTCTTAAGCTTCCCAATGCAGATGCAAAGATAATGTTTCTCAAAATTTTTCTGTTTGGAGCATCCACACTTTTGGTATGTACAAGCTGCGGAACTTTTAGATTAGGCAAATATAACGCTAACTGACAGTTTTCCATTACAAATTTTTTGTTCGTTTTCGTTATATCGAGCAATGCTCCTATTTATTCTTGCACGTTCTTTCATTGCGTAAAAACATTTGTTTCTGTGTAACCAATATGACGTAAACTTTGTAGAAAAATGTTCTATCTTCTGTATCATATCGATAAAGTTTTCGGGTTCAGCATCCTTTTGAGCGAGTCGATGTTAATGAGAAGTGTAATGAGACGCCGCGACAAGCACCGGCTGTGTGTGTGTCGAAAATCAAGATTACTTTCTAATAATGTACTCACCATACATCCCGACGATCGCATATCGCTATTTTGGCACTCCCGATACTTATTTCCGCACCTGGCTCACTTTCGATAGGTAAAAACTGCGTAGAACGCGGAACGATGTCGATCGCGATGTGTCGGTGGAGGCTGCTCGTCGCAAAAAGATCGAAGTACAAGATGACCGCGCAATCAACGCCGATGCAGTGCCGAAAGTGACCGCCAAAACGTAAACGATGTCGCGGTTCGACAAGGACGCACTCTAGTAGCTACGCCTCTCACTCTCGCTGACGGACTGACCGCGCGAGACCCGAATCTCTAACGTCATTATGTTTTTCTCTTTTCCTCGAATTATTATCGCGATTCTAATTTCTCGTTAATAAATCTGACGATCGTCCGATTCTACTACTACTTAAGCGAGTCAATGTTAGTGAGAAGTGCAATAGATGCCGCGACAAGCACCAGCTATGTGTATCGAAAATCAAGCGGATTGCTTTCTAATAACGTACTCACAATACATCCCGACGATCGCACATCGCTATTTCGGCATTTCCGATATTTATTTCCGCGCCAGGTTCACTTTCGATAGATAAAAGATGCGTAGAACGCGCGGAGCGATGTCGATCGCGATGTGTCAGTGGAGGCTGCTCGTCACGAAGAGATCGATCTACAAGACGGCCGCGCAATCGACGACGCAAAGTGCCGAAAGTGTGCACTGCGGCGTGAAGGGTGGCGCACTCCTACTCCGTCCTATCGGATCGCGGCTCTGCGATGCCAGTCTCGCCAGTAGATCGATAATTACTAGAACTTTCTGACCAGTGATGTGACTCTAACTTCTAACAACAATATTGTTACCATTGTGGGTCTTCTACAATAAACCATTAGTCCTAAGCTACAAACAAATTAAACAATCACAGTCAATTATTTTCTACAATAATCGATTGTGATTGATCAACTTGCCTACTGCTTATGACTAATATCTTATTGTGGAAGGTCCATTAGGTTTGTATATTATATTTTGAAAATAATCGTATTAACGAGAAATTAGAATCGCGATGATAATTCGAAAAGATAAAAACAATGACACTAGAGATATACGTGACGTCGGATTATTTTTGAAAATAATTGACTATGATTGGTTAATTTGCTTGTGGCTTATGACTAATGACTTATTGAAGGCCCATATAGCTACGCGACGACAATGTTCATTTACTTGTAGCTTATAACTAATGGTTTATTGTAGAAGACTTATAACGATAATGATCCTGTCGTTAGAAGTTACAGAGTCGCATTACTGGTCGGAAAGTTCTAGTAATTATCGATCTATAGACTGGCATCGCGGAGCCGCGATCCGATAAGACGGCGTTGGAGTGCGCCACCCTTCACGCCGCAGTGCACTCTTTCGGCACTTTTCGTCGTCGATTGCGCGGCCGTCTTGTAGATCGATCTTTTCGTGACGAGCAGCCTCCACTGACACATCGCGATCGACATCGCTCCGCGCGTTCTACGCATCTTTTATCTATCGAAAGTGAGCCTGGCGCGGAAATAAGTATCGGGAGTGCCGAAATAGCGATGTGCGATCGTCGGGATGTATCGTGA